ATTAAATACCCAAGCAGAAGTTACACAGACAAATAATAAAGCTGCGAGCAAGTTTGGATGTACACAAATATCCAAGCAAAAGTTACGCAAGCAAAAAGAAGCTGTGAGCAAGTTTGGGTGTACATTAAATACTCAAGCAGAAGTTACACAGATAAATAATAAAGCTGCGAGCAAGTTTGGATGTATATAAATATCCAAGCAAAGTTACGCAAGTGAAAAGAAGCTGTGAGCAAGTTTGGGTGTACATTAAATACCCAAGCAGAAGTTACATAGACAAATAATAAAGCTGCGAGCAAGTTTGGATGTACACAAATATCCAAGAAAAATTTACGCAAGCAAAAAGAAGCTGTGAGCAAGTTTGGGTGTACATTAAATACTCAAGCAGAAGTTACACAGATAAATAATAAAGCTGCGAGCAAGTTTGGATGTACATAAATATCCAAGCAAAAGTTACGCAAGCAAAAAGAAGCTGTGAGCAAGTTTGGTTGTACATTAAATACCCAAGCAGAAGTTACACAGACAAATAATAAAGTTGCGAGCAAGTTTGGATGTACACAAATATCCAAGCAAAAGTTACGCAGGCAAAAAGAAGCTGTGAGCAAGTTTGGGTGTACATTAAATACCCGAGCAGAAGTTACACAGTCAAGCAATAAAGCTGCGAGCAAACGTGGGATCACATAAATACCCAAATAAAAGCCACGTAAGATGCACCACAGAGGACAAGGCAAAAAATAAGAAAACATATTTTTCATATATATATATATAGTCTTGGCAAAAAGCACAATGAAAAGCATGACAAAAACCCGAGACAAACAAAAAATGCAACCCACATGCAAATTGGTCCTTGTACACACACATATCAGGAGGAAGGCATTGAAATGCCGCGCGGCCCACCGGATGTTGAGGAAGGAAAACATGCAGATCTATCAAGTTCTATAAATCTCCCTAATCTCATCCACATCACAACTACTAGTAACCCAAGACACTTTATCAAGTTCACAAAACACCTTCGTTGACCCTAGAGGAAGAGCAACCTTTCCACCCTTTGAAGAAAAAACCAAAGAAACCTCTGTAGGAATGGAAGGCACCACAGGATCCCTCTCCACATGGTGCAAAGCACCCTTCACAACAAACTTCCCATCCGCATTAAGGGGAAGGCAGAAAATATCAAAGATCTCCGGCTCAGAAGAAGAAGGAAGGACACCCACGTCGGCAACAGAAGAGCCACCAGAGGCAAAAACCGGAACAAAGCCGGAAGCAGAGGACGGAGCAAAGCCGGAAGCAAAAATCGGAACAAAACCAGAAGCAATGACTGGAACAGAGCCAGAAACTACAACCGAATCAGAGCCAGAAGTCATGGCCGGAACAGAACCAGAAACAATCACCGGAACGGAGCCAGTAGCAAAAGTCGGAAGCGAATCGGAAGTAGAGGGATTAAAGGCCATCACAAGGCAACCGGCCAAGATCAAGCCACAAGATCAAAGAAATTTTCCACAAGCGGAAGAAAACAAAAAAGAAAAGCAAGAAATCAAGAGGAAGTCAAACAAAAAGGAAAGGAAGAATCGGGAAACTCAAAAGAAAACCCCATCCAGCCAAAAAGGATAAATTGCATAAAATCCCAAGAAAATTGGGGTTTGAACCAAAAGAGGGTGGCCGTACCAAAAGCCATACAACGGGGCCCACGTATGTAAAGATTACTGCCAAAAAGTAGAAAGAATTAGGAAATGCAGCCGTAAAAATGTGGAAAAATCAAAAGGACCTGAGCAAATCTACAGAGAAATTAATTTCAAACAGAAGCTTTTAATAAACTGCGCCAGGAATCACGAAGAAAAAACCTGTGCTGCACTCTTTTGTCCTTAAACTAGATTTTTATCCCACAGGGTTTTTTCTAGTTAAGGTTTTTAATGAGGCAGTCATGGTTAAAAAGCAAGAACCTGCGCAAAATTCAAAATCAAGATCAACAGAGCAAAAAGGCAGACACTTGTTGAAGTTTTCGTTATCCTCAAACTTCTTCGTTAGGGGGCAAATGTTATACCCTAAAAGCAAGTCCTATAATAATTAGGACACGTGTAGACAATCTAGAAATAATCCTATTAAGGATAGAATAAGTCCTGATAGGATAAGAATACCCAAACACCAATTAAAACAAAATTGTATTCCTAGAATAACTGTATTTAAGCATCCTATAAATACCTCTAGGATCAACCTGAGGTAGATCATTTTTCCACCATTATTCTCTCTACATTGTAAACTCTATCAATAAAGATCTTGGTTCCACACCATCTACTCTATTTTTACAGTTAACAGGTACCTTATGCCTTTATTTGGTGTAAGAAATCTTGATCCATTTGTATAGCCAACATCAACAAGATAATAGTATCTTCCATCAACATGAACTGATTTTTCAATAAAAATAATGAAAAAGAACCAATTTATTACCAATAGGAACTTTTAGTCCATTTTACTTTAACAATGGCATCATGCAAAACCCTAGAATTTGATGCAAACCCTTCCCATCCAAGCAACACAAAAACAAATTGCAAGTTTCTGAAACATGCATCAAATACATTTGTTGTTATGTAACATTTCTGATTTTGGTATCTCGAATTATCAATTAATGAAACTTTTACTTTAATGTGTGTTCCATCTAATGTCCCAAGACAATTCTAAGAACATAAAAGAAAAGAGAGAGAGAGAGAGAGAAAGAGAGAGAGAGAGAGAGAAAATTAAAGATTTCGGTATTAATAATATAAAATTAGTTAATTATTAAATTATTTGAGAAAACTAAATATAACTTAAACTATATCCAGTTTCTCTTGGTATTGCTTTCAACACTAAGTGCTGACATTGAAATTAAGAACTCATTACACCTTATAACAGCATTCAAAACTTTATTAAAGCAACTACTATAGTTTTCCTTGATCAAATAAATCAAATTTAATGACTTAATTCTTCTTATCATGCCCTAACATGTATGGGAACATCACAACTTGTTTCTTGACGAAAATTTAACCACCATTCTTTAGCTTACCCTTAGTGTAAAGAAGATCGCAAAGTTATTAAATACAACTATATTCATTCTAAGTTGCTCTATACATGTTAAGTCACCACAATTGATTGATTTGCCTATGCATTGTATCATTGAGTAAGAATTTAAAGATTCAGCTCTAGAACAATCATTGTCACTATCATTTTTGATGTAATGTCATGCAACATCACAAAGCATCACAAAAGATGGAATTACCACTCTAACCCACAAGTATAATTGTTTCATAGTTAAAACAGCAATAAACACTTGAACAAAGAATATGTATCCTTTTGTTATCCATTTCTGTAGTAAAAACATATTTAACATAAATAGATGTCATAAATTGAAAATTCTCATTAGAACTCCACGTACTAGAATTAAAATATATTAATTAATGTCGCTCTTAGACTACTATATAAAAGAAGT